GGTGAAACCTGACATGAGCTCAAAATAAAAAAATATTAATAAACAACCTTACAGTCAAAAAAGAATCATAAAAAAAAATAATAATAAACTATGGACATCGACAAAATAAAACCCCATCAAGCATACCAAAAGGATCTTATGACCCTAGTGCGATTAGAGAAGAAAAATAGATGAAGAAGAGAAGAAATAAACAAAGAAGAGAAGAACAAGATTTAGGAAAGGAATTTTCATTCATTGATTGCCTAAGTTAACATTCTATGGCAGTACTCTATTTATTTGTTTACAGGTACCGAATCTAAAGCTTTGCTAGCTCTTGTCATTGGCTAACAACCTCAACTTTCACTGTTGGTATTAGGCTTCTCATTCTGGCCTCCTCAAGTACAAGATAAGTAAAATCCCTAAATCTTCAAATACAATCCCTAACCCTTCCTATTCGATCCCCAATTCTCCTCCTCTTCTCCGATTTCTATATCTCTTATGATCATAACAATACCCCTTCTATGAAAGGATCCTTGTCCCCAAGGATCAAAACCTAACAATTGTTCCTTACGCACAATATAGTTTACCCCAATGACGTTTTCCAACCTTAAGTTCATCCACTGCAACTGGTTGTACTTCTTCTCCCTATGTTTGTCAAACTTCATAGAAGATTGAACTTTCAACTATCCCTTATATTCAAACTTGAAAGGCTCCAATGAGGTAATGTGTTGATCTCCATATTCATTTTTCAACCAACTATCATAATTCATTATTTGCACCTTCGAGGACTCATATAACAAGTTATATGCTACTAACCCCATGCAATATAAAACAATGTATGTACCATAGACTCTTGTTGCTAGCCTTAATCCTTTTCGAAGAGAAAGTAAGGTTTGATGGTAAGGCTGAAACTTCAGGTAAATTCTGTCCTCTGTCTTTATACCTCCGTCTGTCAATTTTATTTTAGCAAAAAATTGAGATTCAAAAGTTGTTGTTTTAGTAACTAATTCCTGCTGCTTTCTTTGTTGACTTCTCATATAGTTACGACATTCCCCTTCCCTTGAAATGATTATTGTCCCCAAGGATCAAACAATTTATTCCTTACAATGATGTGCATCCCATTTTTTTCAGTCTTTGTGAAAACAATTTGCATACATAACTCATCTTTCCCGAGCAATGCCCTTGCCCGTGTAAGCACCCACTTAGTACCAATTTGATTTATTGCCTTGGATTCTAAAAATAAATCACTTGCCTCCTTGAAACCATTATTAATCCCAACAGACCTCGAATCAAGCTTTAAATAAGGAAACTTGTTCAAAGCATGAACTTCAATGCATGTTGCTCCAATATCATCCAATCTATTCTCAGACCAGAACCAACAAAAATCCATATTGCTTTCTTCTGCCTTTTGGTTATTCGTTGACCACCTATTGAGTACAAATGCCATTCGAAATCTGTTACACCTTCTTAAACCCCTAAATTCTTTTCATCTATAATTTTCAAAAGGTTTTCGATAATTTTCATATTAATCAAACCAGTATATTTCTTTTCCTTCCCCATTTCGACACATAGGACCTGTAAAATCTCCTGACGGATCCATGATTGTAGCCTTTCTGAGGCTCCACTTGTCCTCTTCGATAACTTGTATACAAGCTCCCTTATTTCATCCATGCTCAATTTACTACATTTTGATAGATCGAGTGTAACTACTTTTCTCTTAAATATTTGAATTGCTCGTGGGTTTAGTTTAATTTGTTGTTTCCTATAACCATGGCATGGGTCAAAACTAGAACCATATGAATAAACTACTCCTTTATCATCCATGAGAACAAGTTTGTGCTCAGCCCTCCATCCCGTATCATAATAAGTGGCAGTGTTCTTTCTCAACTCTTCTGGAATCTTCATTTCATTAGTCTTAAAAAGGTTAGGAGTACTTACTTGAGCATTCTTTGAATTGGTTTGCTCTTGTTCCTTGACTTCCACTAGATTGTCAAGAACACGAGCTGCTACACCTTCACGTAGCAACCCAATAAGAATATGCTCAAATCCAATATAGTTATGGTCAAGTTGGTGGGCTTCTTTCAACGAGTTCCAAAATATATTTGGCAGGAAGAGTAAATGGAATCTCCACAGCAACAAAACCACATCCCTTCCTGTCCTTGATGGTGGAATGAAGATTTGTGATTTTCAAAGAAACTTGGTGGTGCAAACTCCCATGATGGTTTTGACAGAGGTAATGAACATGGTATTTTAAAGAAATTGAAGGTTGTCGCAATTTGGTCCCTACAAACTGAGTTTGCATATTAACATCCACGCTCACCACACCATTATCACTTTTGTTTTCAATATCTATAACTTCCTCAAACTGTACAAGCCTTTTACCAAATACAAGACATATGTCATCTTCAACATGGTTCTTTATAGTCTCAATGGCATTGAAAGAACCTATACTCACTGTTTCATCATATTGAAAATCAAGTTCCTTATAACTTTGATATGTTTGGTCTCCAATATTTTTTACTTTTGATGTTGGCAATTTATCGAACACTTGGGAATCATCATGTTTTTGCTCACACTTTTTACCAGTCAGAATCTATAATATGTGCTCCACCTCTCTCTACTGCAACGCCATTTTGGATTCCAACATACTCAACCGACTGTCTTGCTTTTACCACCATTTAGGAGGGGTGGACTCATCAGCTGTTTGCTTGACCAACTTTGTTAAGTACTCCATCTGCTGTTGAATCGCAGAAAAAATAGAGGATTCAGCCATTGTTTTGCCAGGATTTGTGGCTCTGGATAACATTTGTTATGACCCTAGTGCGATTAGAGAAAAAAAATAGACGAAGAAGAGAAGAGATAGACAAATAAGAGTAGAACAAGATTTTAGGAAATGATTTTTTCATTCATTGATTGCCTAAGTTAACATTATATGCCAGCACTCTATTTATTTGTTTACAGGTACCCAATCTAAAGCTTTGTCAGTTGTTATCCTTGGGTAACAACCTCAACTTTCACTGATGATATTGGGCTTCTTATTCTTGCCTCCTCACGTGTAGGGTAAGTAAAATGCCCAAATCTTCAAATACAATTCCTAACCCTTACTCTTCGATCCCCAATTCTCCTCGTCTTCTCCGATTTCTATATCTTTCATGATCATGACAAAGGAATCAATGGAATGCATACATATATAAAAATGGAACAACCGAGGACAAAAGGAAAATGGGTGAGCAAGGAGGGCTGACTGACTCTTGATGATATCAGGTGTAAGCAAAATTCGACTAATATTTGACTAAGGGAAATAACAAAATTATCCCTAAAATGTGATTGATATTTTTGACTAATTCGTTTTGATAGGTGTAAAAGAGTGAGACATATAAGGGTAAAGAATGAAATATAAGTGTTGTTATTTGTTGTCTTTTCTAATATGACATTTTGAATGAGACAATTTTAAAAATCAAAATAGAGATATTTAGTGGGACTGGGGGAGTATTATAAATTTTTTTTTATAATTTTAGATTGAATTTGACTTATTAAATAATATTATAATTTGAAAATGATGAATATTTATATATGTATATCTTATATGATTAGAGAAAGTCAATAAATTTAATCTAGTTCACACCATAATATTATAAGTAACTATAACTAAATATTTGTCTAAAAACTCGAACAACTGGACTCGATAAAATTTGAAATAAAATTTGAGTCATAAAATATGATTCATCAATTCAAATAGTTTGGTTTTTTTACTCAATTCAACTTGATTGAATGTTGACCCCTATCCTTGAAAGGAACTTTTTTCTCATTCTTCGATACACCTAATTTTGGGGCTTGCTAGTAGAGGTGTAAATAAACAGAGCGTTTGGTGAACTGTTTGTAAAACGTTCGTTTATATTCGTTCATTATGCTAAATAAACGAGTATGAACAAAAATATTTATATTCATTTAATAAACAAACGAACACGAACAGAGATGTGTTTGGTTCATTTATGTTCACGAATAAGCTTATTTATGAGCTTATTTATTAGCTCGTTTATCGACTCATTCATTTATGTTCATGAACAAACTCGTTCATACAGTTCTCTTTTTCCTTTTATTTTTTTAAATTTTAAATATTTGTGAAAGTAGGGACTAAATTGAACACATGGTAAAAGTTGAAATTTAAACTATGAACTTTAAACAGTTTAAGCACTAGCGGCATAATTTTATCATTTTTATCTTGCAAATGAAAGGGTAAAACTAAAATTTGAATATATACGAACGATAAATGAACATTAAACGAATATGTTCATGAACGCTGACGGAACATGTTCGTGAACATTAAACAAACATATTTGCGAATAATAAATAAACAAATACAAACACATTAAAAAATAAATAAATCAATAATAACAAGATACTAAAAATTTAAACGAACACAAATAGAACATAAACACCTTATTGAACACGAACATAACCTTATTAGTTTAAATTCGATATCTTTTACACCCTACTTGCTGGATTGTGACTAGGTATAAGTTGTTAGTATTAAACCCACGTGGGCAGAAGAGTCAAAAACTCTCATGGTCGGAAAGAGGGAGATACAATTTTCATTTCCTTGAGTGTGGGTCCCTATTGAAATATTGTTCACTTTATTTTCATAAATTGGCCAAATCTCAATCATCATCACAATCAAGACTCACCTATATTTATTGGAAACCCCACGGCCGTTTTTCCCGTTAGTTTTCATCCTACCAAGTTTATGCCATGTAAGTTCCCACCTTCACTGTCTCTCCGCTTGTACCAACCACCGCCGTCCACGACTGTACCACCCTCTCCTCCTCCTATAAAACCCCACCATTTGACCTTGAGATAGACAGCATAAACATTAAGCTTTCTTCTCCAATATGAGAGTTGCTGCCATTGCTGTTACTTTCAACACATTCACTTCCCCTACTAAACACAGTCTTACCCAGATTCCTCTCAGGCTCACCAATCATGGGCAGCAAGAGCTTTCATGGAGTCATTTGAATCATTCTAACTCGGACAAACTCGCCAAGAGTTGGATGGAGTATCAAGGGATCAACAACTGGAAAGGCTTGCTCGATCCGCTCGACGATGTTCTACGAAGTGAGATTCTGAGGTACGGACAGTTCGTGGAAGCGGCGTATCGTGCTTTCGATTTTGACGACACTTCGCCGACTTTCGGGTCGTGTAAGTTCTCCAAGAACTCGCTGCTGACTCGGGCTTGCGTTAGGGAGACCGGTTATAAACCGACCAAGAACCTGCGTGCGACGTGTGGGATTCAGTTGCCGGATTGGATAGACCGGGGGCCGAGTTGGGTTTCTACTCGGTCGACCTGGATCGGTTACGTGTCGGTGTGTCAGGACAAGTCCGAGATCGCCAGGTTAGGTAGGCGTGACGTGGTGATCGCCTTCCGGGGTACAGCCACGTTCTTGGAGTGGGTCGAGAATCTACGCGCCACGCTAACCGATGTGGGTGGTCGTGACGGTGCCTGTGGGGCAATGGTGGTAACCGGGTTCTGGAGCCTCTACACTTCCGGGAACACCACGTGCCCCAGCTTGCAGCAAATGGTGAGGGAGGAGATCGGGCGAGTAGTCGAAACGTACGACGACGAACCCTTAAGCTTGACCGTAACCGGACACAGTCTCGGCGCAGCTCTAGCTATACTCGCCGCGCACGACATAAACTCGAACTTTAACAATGCACCGTCGATCACCGTCATATCGTTCGGCGGACCACGAGTCGGGAACCAAAGCTTCAGATGCCAACTAGAGAAAAGCGGGACGAAGATTCTACGTATAGTAAACTCCGATGATCTCATAACGAAAGTACCGGGCTTCGTGGTGGATAACAACGACATAAAGATCAATTCGGCGGTGTTTCCGAGCTGGGCTCAGAGGCACGTGGAAGATGCGCAGTTAGTTTACGTCGATGTAGGGCAAGAGCTGAGACTAAGCAGCAGGGTGTGCCCGCACCTGAGCAAAGGAGGCGTGGCCACATCTCACGAACTCGGCACGTATATGGAATTAGTAAATGGTTTTGTTAGTTCAAATTGTCCATTTCGGGGCACTACCAGTAGAGGTTTTTTTTATTAAATAGAGAATATGTAGAATTAGATACTGAAAAGTGAAGATAATAACCTATTAGCTAGGCATTGTACATGAAAAAAAAATTTATTAATTAAGGGTGTCATTATAAAAAAAAACCCTACAAATTCATTTTTTTTGAAAAGTACCCCTAAGAAAAAATGTTAGAAAAATACCCTCAAACTACACACATATGACTAACTCGCGTCTTGGGAAATGCGAGAAAAGGCCTCGACTTGTCAAAGTGTGATGTACGTCCAACGTGGACGACCTTTTCAGAGAGTGCAATTTAATATCATGAGATATCGACACTTTATCGCATTCGCATAAGATTTAAAATTTAAAATTTCAAAAGATTTTCGAACCTCACGCTTCATAGAACGCGTGGTACCTTTAACCTCGCTTATGGGGTGGTGTGAGGACAGCTATAAATAGGCCCCCCAAAACCAAAATTCTCACACCATTCTCCAAAAAAAAATCTCTCACATATTTTCTCTATGTTATTATTATGGCGGGAACACTAAGGCTTGATCATAGGCATGTATGAGATTATTAGCGGATAAAACTGGAGGTAATTTTTATTTATTTATTTATTTGAAGGGGTATGAACGTTCGTTGGTGTGTTATATCAACCATTTCCTGAGCCCTCATGTCGATATAGTTGGTGGTACGAAGTTGCATCTTCCATTGATAAACGCGTTGTTAGAATGGTAGAGACCGGAGACGCACACGTTTCATTTTCCTTGTGGGGAGGCGACTATTACCCTTGAAGATGTCGCATTCCATCTTGGACTACATGTTGACAAAAATTCTATTACCGGTATTGCCCATAGGCACTAGAGCGGCTTGTGTGCATAACTGCTCGGAAGTTCTTTGACAAGTGACGATATGGATGAAGGAAGATCTACATTCAATTTTTGGACGACAATTTTTTGGAGTCACCTGTTTGATGTTGCTCCAGAAATTAAATAGGTAATTTATGAAATCAATGTTTATTTATTTATAATATTAAAATTTTATTTTAGTTTATGTTATTGTAATTTTTTTACGATAAATTTAAAATTTATTCGTCCCATTTTTATTTTGTTGCAATTTACTCATGCTCATATTTTACAAGTTATTAATAGGGATCTTGATGCTTGATAAATCCCAGAACAAATACATATGATGTGGCATCTACGCGTTTCTCTTCACAACAGAGCCGAAAATTAGGGCTTCGAACTTCAATCTCAATGGGACGAGAGCTGGACCCAGAGATATGCGCTTGCATTCTCGAATTCCTTGTCCATAAATCACCCGACGATATGTTGTTGAAGAAACTCATCCGAGTTTTCCCGCCTCTTAACCCCTCTCCGCGCTTGAAGAAATCACTACTACTCCGTTCTATCCAAAACGTGATCACCGCAGGAGAGATTCCCGAGAAGCTACTCGACTATTTAGAGATGATATCGCGCATCGAAACTAAGCAAAGGGTCCCGATTCCCGACTCCATGAGGGATGCTTATTGCGCCGTCGCAATGGACTGCACCACCAAGTTTTTGGCCGGGTCCCCTGATTCGACTGTATTGTATTCTGATGCCGTGAACAGAATCTGGAGGGGTCGGATTGAGAATCTGGAAAGATCCGAGGCATCCGGTTTGGTTTCCAAGAGACTGAGGAACCTTCGGCGTCAAGTTGAAGCTGCCTTTGGGGACGAGGAAGTGGTCCGCCGTTTAGTCGCAATCAATACTCGAGCCGACGCCTTCTTCAGCCTCAGGCTTTATTTACGCGAAGCGGTTGCCACGATGGGGCCGCCTCTCCTTGAAAGAGCATGGTTGGGGTTCACAGTGGGACAAAGTTGAAATTCTTCGGAAGGTAAATTTGCTTATTAGTCCACTTTGTATATATGTATGTATTATGGCTGAACCCATTTCCAAATATCATTTTGGAGTCACATCGTCTGCTACTACTTGGATGTGGATTTTGTATTTAAACCTATGGTAAATGATATGATGTGGGAAACTTTTAAGCTTTAAATCGACATGAAACATACTGTGTCTGAGTGCATGAGAGCCATAATTAGGAGTCTTGAAGAATCTTACTTAGCAATATGGTTAAACTTGTTGGCAAAGCCTATTATAATCAGGCGATGTACCGACGAATTTCGGGGTGCGGTGGGAGCATTTCACTCTCATGGAGGCTCCCTTGGCATTAACAGTGACAGACACGGTTAAAGGCAATGTCTTGTTCATGACCAAAACTTTCTGTGCTCTATGTGAAAATCATTGCCTCTTAGAAAGCAAACAATCCGGGAATCAGAATTTTAGTCTATCTCCATAGGCAAACTAGATTCTATTCTACCAGTTGTAAACCTGCATTTGAGCATTCACCTATTAGTTGAAAAGCAACAAAATAGAAGTTACCTTATTTTGTTTGTGGGACAGCAAGGGAAATGTAGTGACTTGGTTATATAATAAGATAGGAACAAAACGGAAACTGTCAGACGAAAACAGAACTAATAGATAGGGTTGGTCTCGACGGAAGCAGCTTGTATAAGATTTTTGTTTGCAGATTATACCATCATACAAACTTGGGTAGAGATACCTAACATAATTTCTGTGTTGTCCCGTTGTAATACCGTCCCCGATACAAGTAGTGTTTCATCTTTGAAACTTCTTAAAAACTTTGCCTAGTGTTACAGCCGGATTGATTTCTCTATCACATATAAAATGGCTGTCCCTTGTTTCCACATGTAGGGGAAGGTAAGATAGTAGGCTGCCCCCACATTAGGTTGAGAGCAGCTTCCGTAGGAGACCTCCAAATTATAAAATGCTCTCCATGAGACTCAATCCCACGACTTCAAGGTTAAGAACATTTTAACAAAGGTAAAGTTTTAGAAAGAATGCACAAATAGGAAGAGAAACAAAGTCGAATATGCTAATTCATCTGTGCTGAAATTGCCACTTTTTTCCTTGCAAGAATTCAGACAATTTCCTTTAGTTTGACAATTGAAGATAGACCTCCCATGTATTTACACATCCCAAAAAACCCTCAAAGTAAAAACAACAATTACCGCCTCACCGGACTCTTGCAAGTTTCTATCTCACCCGAGAAACCACTGGAAAGCCTATTTGGAGATTATTCAGAGTCGGAGTTCAAGTCACCTCCATGCTTTGGCATGCCTCTGCATTTCATCTTCCTCACTCCTCTGGCAGGCTGCAAGCTGTGATTTCTTTTTTCAGCAAGGGGATACCCGAGCATCCAGAACCGGACCATGGTCAGGTTCCAAATCGGGCGGTACTATATCAACCAGAGTTAGGGGTGTAAACGACCAAAGCGTGCAGTGAACTGTTTATGAATCAATCGTACAAAATATTTTTTATGTTCATTTAATAAACAAATACATAAAAAAGTTGTCTCCGGTTCATTTATGTTCACCAACGAACTCGTTTATTGACTTGTTTATTTATGTCAATGGACAAGCACGTTTACATGATTCTCCTTTTCATTTTACTTATTTTATGTTTTCAATATTGATGAATGTTGGGTCTAAATTAAACACATGGTAAAAATTAAAATAAAAATGTGAATTTTAAAGAGTTTAAACACTAGTAGCATAATTTTAATATAATTTAAATTATTTATGATTGATTGAGTCTTAATTCGATTAATAATATAATATGTAGGACATAAGTTCGAACATATTTTTTTTAAAAGATCTAGATCTAAACTCATACACACATGTAGACTACGTTGCTTAAAATCGGATCATCTAGAGAGAATAATATATTTTTTTTATCATTATGACTCCTCCAAAGTTCAAATTCAAAATACTTAAATATAAAAAATTTTCTAATTTAGAGGTATAAAACTCTTGGCTACATAACACAATTAGAAGTAGATTCTACTTGTTTCACCAATTCTGTTTTCCAAATCATTCAATGTAGTAACAACTGAATCTCTTATTCCTTATCTTATAACTTGTACTCAATGGAAAAGGGAAATTATTCCAATTGAAAGGAAAAAATATAATAAAAAATAGGGTGAATTACGCATTTAGTATCTAAACTATCAGTTTTGGTCTATTTTAATACTTTAACTTTCAATTTTTTTTCATAACCATACCTGAAGTTTAGATTTTGTTTTGTTTTAGTAACTATCCGTTAAAAAAGTTAGTTTTTGTTTCATTTTAGTACATCGTTCAAAATTTAACGTTAGATTTTACATTTTTTTGAAAGTTTAGACATTAAAACGAACTAAAATTGATAGTTTAGATACTAAACACATTAAGTTTTTAATGACAGATACTAAAATAAAATAAAAACTAGATATGATTTTGAATTTTTTTTAAAAGTTTAGGTATTAAAACAGACCAAAACTGATGTAGTTTTGAAATCATTTGAAAGTTTAGGTACTAAATACGCAGCTTACCCTAAGAGTGTGTTTGATTCACGGAATGAAAGATTACCAGTGGGAATAAAAGATTACTATGGAATAGGATTAATGAGAATGTTGTATTTTGTATTTGGTTGGTTTAGTAGGAATGTAAGATTACTGTGTTTGGTTAAAGGAATAAAAGATTATTGGAATGTATATTTTACCAAATTGTTCTTATTATATATTTGTTTTTTAACAAGTTGAATTCTACTATAATATTACAATAATTAATTTATATATTTTCTTTAAAAAATTTAAATTCATAATTTTTTTTACAAAATTAAAAAGATAAATTGGTTTAATGAAAGGGTAAAATTTTATTTTAACCCCTGAACTTCATATAAAATTTTAATTATAGATTTTTTTATAAACCTAAAATTATTTAAGGATAAATTTGTAATTTAACATTCGTAGAATTTTTATTATTCAACGACAGAAGAATGATATTTTTGAAAAAAAAATTAAAGACATTTTAGTCCAAAATATCGATAATCTAATAATACCTAAGGGAATAAGTAATCACATTCCGGTAATATATTCTAAAAAAAATCACTGTTGATAATAAAATATTACTAAAAATAAAATTACCGATCAATAAAACAAAAAAAAATTGACTATTTCGTTCCTCCGATAATACAACATTCATTGAGTTAAACGGGGCCTAAAAATTGATGGAAATGTCGGATCCATCTCATGATGGCATATTCGTAAATCCGGGGAAAGCTTAGTCCAAGAATTGGAAGCCACCCTCCCCCAACAACTCTCCACTTTCGAGTCCTCAACTAGTGATAATATTATAATCTCTATGGAGTGAGCTTCCTACACGCAACTGCAGATACATTTTCATAGAGATTAGGTTTCTCTCTCTTTTCTTTTTTGTGGTTAGGTTTCTTTCTCTCTCTTAACTTCATTTTTCCTTTTTTTTACAGATCTATTTTATTTGAAGGTTCGTTTCATTTCATTATAAGGAAAATCTCAATGGAGGTTTCGTTGTAGTGATAAAGCAAAGATCATATCTTTGGGAGGAGAAAGAAAGGGTTTGGAGGGGGTTTGGTTTGGGTTCATTTTTTAATTTGAGAGATGACGAGCTTGAACCCTTTTGGTTTGTTGGGTGATGATGATACCGGGGAACTATCATTGTTGATCGCTGCTCAGCAAAAGGCGGCTTCCGTCGCCGCCCCAAAGAAGGGGCCGGCTCAGTCTCAGGTTAAGACACAGCCTGCTGCTCAGAGTAAACAAGCTAAGCTTCCCTCCAAACCTCTTCCTCCCGCTCAGGCCGGTAAGTTTTTCCTTAATAAAAATGTTACTCTCTTTTTTCTTTCATTAATTTTGCTGAAATTATTATTTTATTACATATTAACTGTATGCGTTAAGTTTAAGTTACTTCGTTTCAATGGTCTTAGCTCTGTGCAGGGACGGAGGCATGATTTTGTTAGGGTTTGGCGAATTTCTAGAATTTAAGGAGACGAGTTTATAAAATTCTACTGGCGAAAATGGATTATCGATAGAAAATACAAAAAAAATATCTTAAATATATGATAATTTGAAATTTTTTTGAGTTTGTTTATGTTAATTATGTTTGGGTTTTAGGTCTGGTAAATAGAATGTCGAGTCTGATTTGTTGCTGTTACTATCCAATGATGTTCTGTCGATAGGGTTCTATTTCTGGTTTCTTGAGCTGTGTTCAAATAGGTGCTATTGACTTTTTGAGGCTTCACACTGACGTGTGCATTTTGGTCTTTTTGGAAGTGAGGGAGGCAAAGAATGAAACTGCAGGAGGCAGAAGTCGTGATGGACGCGGATATGGGCGTGGTGGATACAGACGTGATTTTGCAAATGACGAGAACTCTTTCAGCGATATTGGTGCACATGCCGGTCAAGGTGCACCTGAAGATGGAGTGAGTGGGAAACCCTCTGGTAGGCGTGGTGGCGGCTATGGTGGTCCTCGACCTAACCGTGGTAGCCGCTCTGGTGGTTTTAATAACGGGGAAGTTGGAGATGGTGAGCGACCTCGCAGGTTGTATGAATGCCATAGTGGGACTGGACGCGGGTAAAAAGAAATGTTTTTGCTTTGATTTTAGATTCGACGTTTCATTTAAAGCTTGAGACATGCATTTTTTTTTTCTTGTTCCTGCCTGCAGAAATGATCTCAAACGTGAAGGCTCTGGTCGTGGAAATTGGGGAAGTAAAACTGATGAATTTGCTCGGTGAGTTAGTTATCTTTAGTGGTTATGATCCCGGCCTTAAATGCTATGGTAAAATCAAATGAATTTAATCAGTTGCTTTTGTTCTTCTGTTTCTGACTTGCTCAGGGTGACTGAAGAAGACAATGACGGTGAGAAGAATTTAGGTGATGAAAAACCAGCCGGAAATGCTAACGAGGAAAATCCTACCGATGAACCTGAAGAAAAAGAACCCGAGGAAAAGGTAGATTCCCCCGACTTCTCGTCATTTTTAGATAGTTATTAGTGTGTTCAACCTTTGCTAACTGTAAACTGAAGCTACTAATAATGGACGTTACTTTGTACAACTGTCAATGTCGCTATTTTAATAGGAGATGACTCTCGAGGAGTATGAGAAGGTGCTGGAAGAGAAGAGGAAGGCTCTCCTGGCTCTTAAGACCGAGGGAAGAAAAGTAGATGCCAAGGAGTTTGAGTCTATGCAGCAGCTCTCAAACAAGAAGAGTAATGATGAGGTCTTCATCAAATTGGTGAGGTCGGGAAGTCCAGTTAATGACTGTCCTATTAGTCGCAAATATGTATTATCTATATGTTCCTCGTAATTGTCTTATACAGGGCTCGGATAAGGATAGGAGAAAAGAGGCTTATGAGAAGGACGAGAGAGCAAAAAAGGTATTTTACTTCTGTTTATCGACCTGCATGTCTGACTTATGTGCTGCTTTCTTTTTCTGGTTTTAGCATTTTGCTATTCTGTCTCGAGATTTGCTTAATGTCTTTACGGCTTATACCGGTTACTTATCCTCGTATGCTGATGTGTGGTGCTGGTGGCAGTCGGTCAGCATTAATGAATTTTTTAAGCCTGCTGAAGGGGGGAAGTACTACAACCCTAGTGGTCGTGGATGTGGTCGTGGTTCAAGAGGTTTCGGTGGAGAAAGTGCAGCTAGTAACAATGAGGCAGCACCTTCCATTCAAGACCCAGGGCAGTTCCCAACTTTGGGGGGCAAGTGAGATTTCTCTAAAACTCGACATACGATCTCTCCGTGTTGGTTTGTTTAAATTTTGGGCAGGGAAATGTGCTTCTAATAATCTGTTGCCAAAGGATTTCATGTTTAAAAGATGTACATTTTGTTTTGTTGTAATGCCCCCATTGTTATGGTGTGTTATGTCTCATAAGAAAAATGGGAGCCATGTGACTATAAATTAGTAAGTTGCACCTTTTGTTTTGAGAATAGATGGAACTATCTGCTACTTACATTGGATATAGTAGCAATTTAAGGGAAGCAATTGCTGTGATTAGTAATCTGTTCTTATGCCATTGCTGTATTCTTCATGTAGCCATAGGCTTTGAATTTATCAAGCAAATAGGGTCGATGGCATTATAGTGTAAATAAGCATGGAAAGGCAATGTGTTGGTAAGTACCCGGGAACCTTATTTGGGGTTCACGGCAACCAACACATTTGATACGAAGAATATTGCTTTACTTGCAATCTTTAATGGAGATTGATTCACTCATACATTAAGAATCTAATGTACATTCTTTTGGTATACTTTTAAGTGTTTAGATGAAAAATAATTTACTTTAGATACTTAATTGTTTAAATAATTTGATTAACTAAGTTTTTCAATTTAATTTACAGTTAACGAAAAGGCTTGAGAACCCAGACAAGACAACAGACAAGTGCTTGATTAACTAAGATTATCTCGTTCTATTTGTATGCTTTAAAAGTTAAATATTTAAAATTATCTTCTTTAAAAGAGAAATTTCCATGTGCTATTTCAAATCATGAAGGGTGTGTCTCAAAAACAAAATGGGGTTCCTCTAAAGTTCTCGGATTTGCTCGAGTTGTCGGCTTAGAATGATCTGAACGGCTTCAAATTTGCTGTTGAAGAAGGGGTCGTGACATTAATGTGTCATTCTTGTGGCATGGAAGGAAAATAGGTTCAAAGAAGAGGGGTTTGAAGAAAGAACACCCCTTTTGATTGCTTCAATCTTCGGATGCAAGGATGTGGTGAATTATATCGTTGAAAGTGGTTGTGTTGACGTTAACAAGGCTTGTTGTTCCGATAGGGTCAGGGCTCTCCATTGTGCTGCTGCTGGCGGTTCCTCTTGTTCTCCTGAGGTTGTTAGAATCTTACTTGATGCTTCCGCAGATATGAATTTAGTTGATGCCAATGGAAATCAGCCAGGTGACTTAATGCTCCAGCTTGTTGCAAGTCAGATTTTAGCTCCAGAAAGAAGATATTGGAGGGTTTGTTGAAAGGAAGTATTGGTATTGGCGAAAGAGATGGTTTGCATGATCAAGTAACGACTGAGATGGAAGGGATAGAGCAGCAAGCCGATCCAACTCCCCTAGTTTGGAAAATTGAAAATGAGAAGAAAGATTACCCATACAATCTCACTCTTCCCGACATCAAGAACGGGATATATGGGACAGATGAGTTTAGGATGTATGCCTTCAAGGTCCAGCCTTGCTCAAGTGCTTACACTCATGATTGGACTGAATGTCCATTTGTTCACCCGGGGGAGACTCCAAGGAGGCGTGATCCTAGAAGAGATCTTTATAGTTGTGTCCCTTGTCCCGAATTCCGTAAGGGGTCGTGCAAGAATGGCGATAACTGTGAGTATGCACATGGTATTTTCGAGTCTTGGCTTCATCCCGCACAATATCGAACTTGTCTATGCAAGGATGAGACTAATTGCACTAGGAGGGTTTGTTTCTTTGCTCACAAGCCAGAGGAGCTCCGTCTCTTATATTCTTCGACGGGTTCAGCCTTGCCTTCACCTACATCCTATGCGGTTAGTCTTGATCGTGATTCAATAAGCCTACTTGCTCCTGCCTCTCCATCTGTTATAAAACCTTCAACACCGACACCACCCTTGACTCCTACTGGAATCTCTTCTATCGGTGTAGGGATGTGGCTGAACCAGTCTAACAACATACCTCTTACCTTGCAACTTCCGAGTAGTAGTAGGTTGAAAGCTGCACGACGTGCTCGAGGTAAGGATTTAAACATAGAAATGCTTAACTTAGTCATCAGAGCCTCAAACAGCAGCAACAACTAATTGATGAGATAACTGATATTCCCTCCCCGACCGAATAGGTATGGAGAGATGAAGTCGACTAACATCGAAGATATTTTTGGATATCTTAGTACTAGTACCAAGTCCTCATTGCAAGGGATCTCACTCGAGGCTACTTCTCTTCAACGACAATCACCGATCGGAGTTCAAGTACGTCGAATATTAATCACCAACTCCACTCTATTTACCCAACGAACCGAGCATCCTCCCCAGTTATGACACCTCCAACCTTTGAGGTTTAACAGTCGAGAACAACAGCATCATCAGTTTCAAATTCACTGTATACGACTCTATGGAATGAAATGGAGAATTCATCGCGCAACACCAAAGAACTAAGAATCACATAAATGAGTGATCTTACAAGACAAAATGATATGTGCATGACAAAAGGCGAGACTTGATCAAATAAAACAGAATTTCTTTACTTCACACTATAAAACAAGATCCAATAAAATTGCACATGAGCAAAAACAAAGGCACATAAACATCTCGAATCGAATCATTCGTATTAACCTATAGATGCAATGTGATAGATATGGACGAACGTTTGATTTTATGTTCAATAGAAAATACATAAATATATATATATATATATATATATATGAACATTTTAAATTTTTAAGGACTAATCACCCCATTCGACCCCACCTAAGTCCATCTATGGTGACAGATATAGTTCTCGAAGGGAACATCTCTGACAGATAAGTGTAAAAAGACCTAAAACTTCATTATAATTCGAGCATTCTAAAAATCCTATCATTTTGATCATTTTTGACTACAAAATCAACCAATTTTTGTCATCGTTTCTTAGAATCGTATTTTTTTGTTTCAGAAATGGGTGAGAGATAGTCTCCCATTAAAAAGAAATTTTTAGGTATTCGACCTACCTAACCCAAAGGTCGATGGTGACTCACTCTATCCAATTTAATCCAAAATCACCAATTTTTCCAAATTAAATCGTAACTGTTTTTTAAAATAATATTTAATTGTTTCACCTAAAAAAATGATTATGACAGCTTGGCGACTCCACTGGGGAATTTGTTTTAGAAAGTCAGGCTGTAAGTTGCTTACCCATTTTCGTTGTGGTGGAGATTATGAGTTCGAGTCTTTAGTTAACTTATGATCCATTTATTGAAGTTTTTAATTGCTTCAAGGACAATTTTTGCTTTCAGTTCTGTCCAAGTTTTGTTGAGAGTTTTTATTTGTTCGTCTTTTGAGTCTAAGGTAGGTACGCTCCTCCTCACAAAAATCACGTGCATTTATATAATATAAGCTCTAGACCCTAGGTTCGATCCAAGTAAGTCAGGGTGAATGCTTTACTCTCATAAGAATTTATTTTTCGTATGAGTTTTAACAAATAACTCATGTGATACATACTTTATACTTTTGTAGGGATCTATTCCTTGTATGGGTATAAGGCAGTGAATCCCCTCAAATTGAACTCATTCCGTTTGAAACATGTAATAGGTGAGGATCGAGGGTTTGACAGCCCAAGGGGGCACCGACATCAAGGACAATTCAAGTACCCTTTCCTGATATAGTTGAAACCATGCATATAGAGAACCTTAGAACTGTCGCCCTAGGTAGAAGCATGTCAAACCTCTGTCCATTAGTAGGTACCCAAAATAGGCATACACGAAGGAGGATAGAGAGCTTGGGTAAGATCATTTTGATGAATTTTATTCGGGTAGATAACATAGAAATAGATTCAAGTTATTTATTTTTTTTATTTTGAATTTATTCACTTGTTTTGACTAATTGTTTTGTTTGTTTTGTTTTGCTATTTTTTTCTTCATACTGCATATACATATCATTCGAAAAGGCGGTTGATCTGTGAGTATCGATAAAGTGGAAAGACTTTCATGATGGAAAGGAGTTTCCTAAACAACGAAGTGAATCCGACAGATGTAAGGAATTGTCTGAAACGAAGCAGAAAGATCAAGGAGATAGCCTTCCAAGGAACTACTTGTCAGAACTATCTGATTATACACCGACCTCCTTAAAATAGAATAAACTTTAGGGATTGAAGACGATTTGGGAAAGTTGGAATTTGGCTGAGAGACAAGCTTTTCAATAAATTTATGGGGACATATTTCATCTGATATATGTCAAGGTAGACTCTGTCCTCATTCAAAGTATGATACAGTTTTGGAATCTGGCTTATAGTTGCTTTACCTTTAATCGAGAGGACATGACTCCGACCCTTGAGGAATACAACTTTTTGCTGAATTTTTCAAGTGTTAAAGTGAACCAAATCTACTCTCGGTCAATAAGAGGGCCTTCGTTTAAATAAAAGCTCGCAAAAATCTCAGGCACGAGCGATAAATGGATAAATGATCGTTTGCAACGAAAGGGAGAAAGCGAGGGAGTACCATGGTCCACTTACAAAATATAGCTGAAGAACACGTAGATGAAAATGTACGGAGAGATGTATTTGTTTTGGGAATATATGGTTTGATAATTTTTCCAAAGTGCTTTGGGATTGTCGAGCTGGCCGTAGTTGACTTGGTTGAGAAGTTAAAAAGAGAAATAAATCTGGTACATGCGATTCTTGTTGAAACTTCCGATCTTTGAATATCTGTAGAAGGTTGGGTGGAGGTCGTCGTCATGCTGCCAGTCGTCGTCGTCGTCGGTGGCCGATGACCACCAAATTTCAAAGGGAAGTCCGTCTTGACCTCCCCATCTCCGATCCGGGGTCAGTTTTGCGATAATCGGCCCCAAACTCCCCAAATCTAGCTAAAAATATTCGGTCTTCTTCACCCCGATCCGCCATTGTTTACAATTGGATCGAGCCCAAACCGAAGTATGTTGGTCGAAGGTAATATTTCGCTCGTTCATATTTTATTGTATTTTTTATATTTCAAATGCTAAAAAATCAAAACATGAAGAAATGTTTACCTTCAATATTCTGCCTTTTTATTTCTTTACTATTTCGTTCGAAATCCCTTTGAACTCTCCCTTATTACAGATATGATTCAGGTTTATATACCCTTACAAATTACATTAAAAATACCCCCACTTGTTTGTTATTGGACCACTTTTGCTAGTGGTGGTGGTAGGTATGAGCTACTTGGTTAGTGTAGAAAAAATGATAGTGGAAAATGATTTGTCAACACATTTTGGTGGAAAAGGTAGTAGTGAAAAAATTAGTTGTCAACAGCTGCCCCTCTTTTCCCATTCTTGTGTCAACAAGAATAGGGCAAAGACGAAGAGACAATGTATTTTTCGTCCG